GGGGGGGGGGGGGGGGGGGGGGGGGTTAGCACGGGGGGGGCAGAGGGGGGGTACAGGGGGTGTAGTGGATAGAATGGGTTTGGGCGCGCCATAGGAATGGGACGGTTTCTGAAAACCGTCTGAACCGTTGGGTTGGACTGTCTTGGTTGGGTTCGCGTGTGTTTTGTTCGGTTCCTGCTGCTCCTTTTTCTCAGAGGGAAGCGTTTACACTCCAGAGCAGAAGGGGGCGCTACTGCGCCCAAAGCCAACCACCAGTAGGAAACAAGAAGAATAAGCGAAGCAGCGTAGCCGATAAAAATCAGACCCGCCAACAGCAGTTTATAGGTCTGCTGTATGGGACCACTTTGGAATTAGCACTGTTTCCTCTCTGGTAATGCCAGAATCTCACATACACTTAACCTCAGACTGTCACAATAATGGATCAAATGTCAGACTGCTTTTTTCTTTCAGTTTTAACCTGACTGTACAAGACATAATAGATTTTCCTAACAATCAACACATACCGAACCGAACCGAAAACCATGACCACGAAACCGTGAATCGAACCGAACCGTGGATTTTGTGAACAGTCCCATCCCTAGCGTGCCATAGTGATGACGTGCACTAATTGGTCAGGTGGTGTTGGGGGCGGTAGCATTTGAAATATCACCTTTTCACTCGCAAGGTGACAGTTTAGTGGTGAGTGGGTGATGGGGGAAGCCTACTTTTTGCTGACCGCTTTACGCTTTACACCTTATGCTTTTAGATCTGATCGAATTAAGTTTGCTGTGAACGTTCACTCTGGATTACCGCTTGTTGGATTATGGATGCCTATTAACTGATTCAGTGACGTGTTTTAATGTTGGATACCTGAAGATTAAATAAAGCGATAACACGAAGCCTTTGGACTGGCGTTTTGAACATCTAGCGCGTCTGGCTCGTTAGTTTCCCCTAAGTAGCTGCTCGGCGACCTAAAGGTTTGTTGATCAGTCGCCAATAGGGGGGATAGGGGGGGGGGGGTCACTCACCCACTGACATCCGGCCGATGATGCGGCAGCCGGCCACGGAGGCGTGGACCACCGGGATGGTCTCCGACAGCTCCCCCTCAAACACGCTGGGACCGGGGGAAATAGGAGGAGACGGGAGGAAATAGGAAGAAACGAGAGGAAATAGGATGAAACAGGAGGAGACAGACAGGAGGAGACAAGAGGACATAATGTTTCATTTACATAATGTAGAAAAACTATCATCTAAATCGATTTTTATTAAATTTTTACTTCATAAATATTACTGTTTACGGTCACTAAAGGAAAACTATGTGACCACATAGAGATGAAGCTTGTTTTTAACCCTGTACAGACTGAACTCTGCCAAGAAAATGTATATTTTTATCTCCAGGATTTGTTTTCTTTAAATAATATAAAAAACAATCACTTAAATGCTGATTTTAATTCAACTTTCACTTCACAAATATTACTATAAAATATTTCATATAACAAAACACTTAACAGTCAGTCTCAGCCTCTGCAGGCTGTGCAACAGTAATAAGTGTCCCTGTGAAACAACGGCTGAGCAGAGCAGGTGTCAAATGTTCTTATGGTTGTTTATCTATCTTTTTATCTCATACTGTCAAATCTTTTACTTTGAGTGTTGATCGTTTTGTGGACATTTAAGTCTTTAGGTTTTAGAACAAAACATAAGACATTTGAAATATTCTAAAGTTGATTTTTTTACTTCATGAGTATTACAATTTATGGCCACTAAAGAAAAAATATGTGATCCAACAAGAAACTGGAAGTATGTGGGAAATATTTTACAGTTCTGAAACCGATATCAGACAAAAAGAAAGCTGAAGCTTGTTTTTAACCCTATGAAGACTAAACCCTGCAAAATTATATATATATATTTATCTGCAGTATTTGTTTTCTTTACGTAATGTAGAAAAACAATCATTTTAAGGTCGATTTTAATTCAATTTGATCAATATTTTCGGTACATTTTGACAAGCTAAAGTTTTTTTAGGGTTCAGAAATCTGAATCAAATATTTCACATATGCCAAAACCATTAAACAGGCTGTGCAACAGTAATAACTGTCCCCAGGAAACAAGCGTCAGCTGAGCAGAGCCGGTCTCAAGTGTTATTATAGTTGTTTTCATTCTTTTTTTAATATATTGTAGAATATTTGTGTTAATTTTACTTTGACTGTTGGTCATTTTTTGGACATTAAAGTCTTTAATACCCAGAACGAAATCTAACGCACTTAAATGATTCCAAAGTTGTTGTATATAACCGTTTACGGTCCGGCCTGGTTCTGGGGGTCCTACGGAAGCCGACACGCCTCCCCACTCCCCCCGGCACGCGCAGGGGGGCCGTGGCACGTGCAGTTCAGGTGTCCGCTCACCTGTAGAAGTTCTCCGAGCCACCGATGGCCACCAGGCAGTAGGTGTTGGTGAGTTTGGCGAAGCAGCCGATCTCGTTGTTCTTCTCGAAGGACGCCCTCACGGCCATGATTAAAGCGGAGAAAGATGATCTGGTTCCGGCCGTGAAAAGAAGCGCCAAACCGACGCTTTTTTTGTGAATAACCGGAAATTTCCCGCTTCAAAACTCCTCGTTCTCGGTCTGAGACAACCCTTCGTGCTCGGTGAAAAGACGAAAAATCAAAAATCACCCGGAGAAGAACCCACACGAGCTGATGTTGCTCCTTCCACCCCACGTGTTCACTTCCGCCTAGAGACCAGGCTGTGACGTAAGACGTAACGTACGTGGGGTAAAAAAAAAAAAAAACGTTGACGTAAAGAAGGCCAGCCGTTAGCCTGACTAAAAACCAAACGTTAGCTTTAGCTTTTTGGACAAGTTTTAAAATAAGAAATACGACAAAAAGCAAACAAACCAAACTATTAAGAGTAAATACTGATAGTTTACATTATTTAATCATAAATCAAACGTCACCACTGTGTCAATTTATATTTTTCAGATAATTATTCTAGTTAATTATTTTGATTTTTATATAAATTATAAAATTATTAGATATTTTATATAAAGACTGGATTTTTTAAAATCACTCTGTCCATTAAATGCATTTGAGCTCTTGCAAATTCTGCGCACTGATCTGTCCTCATTTCTGTCCTTTATCCATCTAAGTTTCTCCAGATATTTTCAAAGGGTTCTTTAGTGACACTTAGGACTTCTGATGTTTTTGTTTTGATATTTTTTACTTTTTCTCACATTTTTAGTCAAGTTTTGATCCTTGTTAAGACACTTGAGTCAGAAAAAAGGCCCCTAACTCAAGGGATGAGCCAGCATCTGCAGATTAAAGTGGATCTTTTGGCTCTTTGTCACAGCTAAAAACGTTAAGGAAAAGCTGAAAAAAAACACTGGACAGCTTTTAAATGGCACTAATGAGCCCACACCTTCATCCTAATTAGCCTTTTTGGAAGACCAAAGTAATGTTGGAAAAATGCTCAAAAGGATTAACAGCAGGTGTCATCTGAGGAAACTGGTGGACAGAAGAAAAAGAGCCGGGCGTAAAATGACTTTTTCAATAAAAAAAATAAAAAAATTTGAATAAATGAAGGTTATGATCGGGAATGCTTTTAAACATTTCTTAGGTGAGTTACTGAAGTGTGTGGAGACCTGTGTTTTTAATGTGTTTTTATGTACAGCACGGTGTTACTTTTTCTCTGAATGGTGGAATTTAATTTAAATGAACCTTTTATCTTAAATTTCCTTAAAAACGCTTGAGGAGCAGTAAGAGTGTAGCTTTTAGATCAACCTCTCATCCAAACCTTCTATAAAACATTTTAACTTCTTTAATTTCTTCTGATTCCTGATGCTTTTTCCTCTAAATAAGGAGAGGAGTGATATCTCTGTTTCGTTACCGATCTTTGCTTCCTCTTCCCTCCCGCCCCCGCTCCCCGGAGTGACGTCACGGAAGTGGCGAACTAATGGCCAACAAACAAGACGTCACGGGCAGCGAGCGATCTGATTGGCTGCGGGGACGCCGGTTGCTATGCAGGCCGGAGGTTTGTTTTGGTCCCTTTTATGCCGGAAGCTTTTATTATCTGGGCTGAAAGGAGAAAAACCCCTCTGGGAAAAAGCTGGAGGAGACAGGAGGGGCTAAAAAAACGCCACGGTTGTGAGAAAAAACATGGCATTTTGTGTGTTTTTTATAGGTTTTTTTTTATCAACGTTTTAGGCCAAATATTAAAGCACCATTCATAGAAAAAGTAACACCGTGCTTTACATTAAAACACATAAAAAACACAGGTCTTCACACACTTCAGTAACTGGCTAATAAATGTTTAAAAGCATTCCCGATCATAACCTTAATTTCTTTCAATTTAATTATTTTTTTAATAAACATTTTAGGCCCAACTCTTCTTCTTCTGTCCTCCAGTTTCCTCAGATGTCACCTGCTCTTAATCCTTTTTAGCATTTTACAACAATTAAGGTGATCTAGTCTTTATGTTTTGAGAATAAACAATAAAGAAAAGGCTGAGAAAAAAACACTGGACAGCTTTTAAATAGCACTAATGAACCCAGACCTTCATCCTAATGATCTTTTCTGGAAGATTTAACAAAAGTATTGGTCTTTCTCTGGTCCGGTTTCCTCAGATGTTTTCAGGACTCTGATCACCAGTTTCCAGCCAGCAGCTCTTTGGGAATCCTCAGAAATCCTGTTTCCTGTCTGTCAGACTGGGTTTTCTTTGGCATTTTTCCTCCATCAGATACAGAAATGGAACAAAATGATGTTTAAACGGCTCATTTCCAAAGCTGGACACAGCAGCACTGATCTTTATGTTTAATTTTGGCCTTAAATCTCTGCAAACTATCCAATCTGACGGCATAAAAGTGTTAAAACTTAAAACTGATCTTTTTCTTTGATTTTGGGCTAAAATATCTCAAAACAATCAATCTGATAGCATAAAAGTCTGAAAAACGTATCTTTTTCTTTCATTTTGGGCTAAAAAATCCAAATATTTATCAATCTGACGGCATAAAAGTCTGAAAACTGACCTTTGTCTTTCATTTTGGGCTAAAGTATCTAAATATTTATCAATCTGACGGCATGAAAGTCTGAAAACTGATCTTTATTTTTCATTTTGGCCTTAAATCTCTGCAAACTATCCAGTCTGATGGCATGAAACTGAAAAAACTATCTTTTTCTTTAATTTTGGGCTAAAATATCTTAATAGTAATAAATCTGACATCTTAAAAGTCTGAAAACTGAACTTTGTCTTTCATTTTGGGCTAAAATATCTAAATATTTATCAATCTGACGGTATAAAAATCTGAAAACGGACCTTTGACTTTCATTTTGGGCTAAAATATCTAAATATTTATCAATCTGACGGCATAAAAGTCTGAAAACTGACCTTTGTCTTTCATTTTGGGCTAAAATATCTCAACATGTACCACTCCTTTGGGGGTAAAACAATATCTTGGTGCTCACGGGTAAATCCTCCGGGTCAAACTGGTGGTTCCGGTCCGATATGGAGGTCTAGACCGGGTTCTTCGTGCCTCTTTTCGGGGCGGAGTGAGGCCTCCTGTCTCCCGGTGGGATCTTCGGTGGGTCTTCTCCCGGATCCTCTGCCTGGAAACAGCGACAGCTAATCGGAACCGGTGGGTCCGGCTTCAGGGGTCGATTAGGTGGGACGACAGTAATTTGTGCCCTCAAAGCTTCTCCACTCGCCTCCTCCGGGAGTCTCGACGAGACGTGAACGCATCGTCTCTCATAAAAGCAGAAAGATCCGCACAAAACGTTTTTTTAGGGCCACTGGCATCATTACAGACCCCAAAAGGGCTTTAAATTTATTCTAAAGTAGCTAAAAGTCAGTTTAGATGATGCATGGACGTTTTAGTTGAAGTGTTATTTAGTTAAAGTGCATATTCTCATTTTTAAAATAATTTCGTTTAGCAGTGTTAAATTGAGTTGTTTTAAGAACCCTAGACTAAATAAATGTTTTAAAAAGTTTATTATTACCTTTCATAAATCACACAGATCCCAAACGTCCCGAAACAACCCCCCAAAATAGTCTTTGTTTTTATTTTGTCGGCTCAGTGACGTCATCAAGAAGCGCATGTGCATATTCCTCCTCACGTTGCGTTCGCTGTGCCTCAGAAAACAGGAGATTACATCATGAGGCCGCGAAATTATGAGCATTAGCTTTCTTTTTTTGGTTAGCTGTTAGCAACAAAGTCAATTCTGCTGTTATAAAGTTCACTGAAGACAGAAATGCATTGAAATAATTTATTGGGAGGTTTATTAGGTTAAAAATAGCCAAGGGAATGTTTTTATTATTCCTTATGTGTTATTTATAGGGATATGCGCATATGAGCTTTGAAATATACACTCATTTGTTGGTGGTTTGATTTATTAAATTCTAATTTAATAGAATAACCACTAATGAAGCATCGAAGCAGAAAAATCACATTGAGGAATCCTCTCAAACCGTTAATTGTGTGTAAAGTTTTCCCTAAATTACAGCTCTAGTCGAGGCTTTTTGGTCAATCTCATACAGAATAAATCACCATTATCAACGAAAACTGAATTTATATGCAGAAAAAGGGGTTGCTGTCTTCCACTTGGCCACTAGGTGTCAGTCATTTAAAAACATATTTCTTCTTAAATCATCTTTATTGAAATTGAAACCAGCTTGGCCTTTTGTTTTTCTGTTGTCTACAATAAATCGCACTGGATTTGTTCGTTTCCCAGCATCCCAACATCCAGTTAATCGCTTATTTTTGACCAGATTTCTTATTTAAACACCCCCGTCAGTCCTGTTTTGTGTTAGAAAAGCAGGACTCGCGTCTCCTGATGTGGAGAAGCTGCCTGATGAGGTGGAGGAAGAATGGAGCCGACGCCTTAATGGAATTCAGACCGGCTGTAATTAACCTGCTGCTGGGACATTATTCATCTTAATTAATTCCTGCAGGGTGAGCTCAGTTTGTGCCAGAAGTGTTTCAATATCGCATTAAAGGGAAGTAAAATAAGCTTGTTCTTAATCGACGAAACGCCAGGCCGATGGAAGGAGTCTGTTTGGTCGCGTTGTGTCCATCTGCTCTTGTTAAATCTCTTTTTCTGGGATTTAAAGCCTTGATTTTGGGCTGTTTGCACCTTTAACCCTTTAGGGGACGAAGCCCAGCAGCTGGTGTTCAGTCACACATTCAGTCATCGCAAAAATGGGGATTTTTTTCCAGAAAATCTCTCAGAAAATTGTTCCAGATAGAAATATTTTTCTTTATATGTTAATTTACCACTGAATTTGCATAAGATCAACACAAAAAACAGGAAAAAAGCTATTTATTTCTCACTGAGGTTAATGTTTGTTTGCAAATCCTTTGGAAAAAGTAACTGAACCCAGTCGTTTCCTACAAGCATCAGAAAGCTCGTTTCACCTCCCAGCTGGAAGTTTTGACTCTCGTCTTTTCAAAACTACTCTTCTCAGCACCTCTGACGACTATTTAGATCTGATTTAGTCTCTATTCTGTTCTGTTGTATCTATTTT